CTTCCCAGTCCCTTCCCACCCACTGAGTACTTTCTGCTCACGTAGCTGCCAGCAGAGAGTGGAAGCTTTCAAAAGTCTCTTTCATCAGCAAACACATTTCACCTCGGCCCGGCAGCCTGGCCCCCGCCCCCAGGCCAGTGCCGCAGAGGCAGAGAGGCAGTGAGGCGGACACCACGCCCTGCTGGACCGACAGGGAGGAGACCGAGGGGAGGGAGGGGCCGGCCCCTCCTCCCCCGTCTATTTCTGTCGCTCTCCAGGTCCCCTGGCCCCTCTGGACCACCATTACTGTTGTGGATTCAACCGGTCACCGGTCACCACAGCTTCAGCGTCTTCATCACTGGCAGGTGCAGGGACCAGGTTCTGGGGCCATCCTGCCCCGAAGGAGCCACTTGCACTTGAGTGAAACGGTCAGACATGTTCAGGTGGCTTGAGCCGTTTATTGTGTTGGGAACTTTTTAATAATATTATGCTTATACAAATATGATACATGCTTATTATAGAAAATTGAAACATTGGGACCAGCAGTTGGTCTAATGGCTATGTCGCTGGACTCCCATGTAGTCGACCGTGGTTCGAATCCCAGACCCGGTGGCTTAAAACTCACGTCGGGCGCGTGTGCGTGCGTGCCCAAGATCCTACGAGGAGAATGGAGGAAAAGGGATTGCGGTGTGGCCATCCCCCCCCGGGGCGGGGGTGATTTGTCACTTTCTATCTTTCTGTCTCTCTGTCGTTCTGGCCAGCGCACGCACCCTATAGCAAAAACATCTCAAAAAAAAAAAAAAAAGAAACATGCTTATTATAGAAAATTGAAACATTGGGACCAGCAGTTGGTCTAATGGCTATGTCGCTGGACTCCCATGTAGTCGACCGTGGTTCGAATCCCAGACCCGGTGGCTTAAAACTCACGTCGGGCGCGTGTGCGTGCGTGCCCAAGATCCTACGAGGAGAATGGAGGAAAAGGGATTGCGGTGTGGCCATCCCCCCCCGGGGCGGGGGTGATTTGTCACTTTCTATCTTTCTGTCTCTCTGTCGTTCTGGCCAGCGCACGCACCCTATAGCAAAAACCTCTCCCAAAAAATAAAAAAGAAAATCGAAACACTGAGAAAATGAAAGTGCCCTGAAATCTGGCCCGGAGACAACTGACCACCTGCTAACCTTGATGCCTGAGTCCACATGTGGTATGCGGATTCATAGGTGGGTCTTCCGTGGAAGTGGGTAGTATGTTCTCACCATTTTGCAGCCTGGTGTTTTGTGTCCCCCTTCCCCCCATATATAAAATAAACTTTTCTAGATTACCGAATATCCCCCTTTTTAATGGCTTTATAGTATTCTATTGTATGAATAAGCTAATTTTTTTCCTCCCGACATTTAAGCTATCCTCATTTTTCCTCATCAATTTTTTTAAAAGAATTATTCGTTTAATTTTATTTATTATTATTTTAGTTATCTATAAGACATGTGTGCTCACCAGAGATAGAGGGAAAGTGAGAAAGCAAGCCACCAAGTCCGGGACTTGAACTGTGTTCGTCCATGTAGGAGTTCAGTGCCTTAGCCACCACACCATCTGCTGGCCCTCCCCCGCTCTTAATATGTTTGTACACTGATCTGATTATCACGTTGAAATACATTCTCACACATGGGAGAGCTATGAGAGAGGGTTGCGTCCATGTTCAGTTTTGATATGTTTATGTAAGTGTGTTCTCAGTCCACCCTGGGAGGGTTTACACGCCCATCATAGACTGTCAGAGTCTGTCCTTCTGCACACTGCGGGGGAGTGCTGGGTATCACCAGCAGGCTGAGGACACTGTAAAGGGTCCTGCAATGACCCTGAGCAGATCACCGTGACCACATAACCCACCTCTGTCACTAACACCCTTTCTGTCATAGCATAGAACTGAAGATTCTTTTAGAGCTGAAAATAACTATTAAAATCACCTAATCCAGCCAGCCCCATAGCCTAGTGGTTAACGGTGCTGTTAAACCATGACTGACCCTGGTTTGAATCCTGGCTCTTGAAAATTTCACCAGATGTGCGTATGGGTTCCTAAAATCCCAACAGGATGGGGAAATGGAAGAGAAGGGATTGAAGCATGACCACTCCCCACTGGGGGATGTACGCTTCCTCTTCCGTGTCTGGTGAGCACACATGCCCGCTGTCGATTGAGAAAAACCTACCCAGGTCAGCAGGTGGTGTGGTAGTTAAGGCACTGACTCTCACATGACCAACTCCATGGTTCAAGTCCTGGATCGGGCACCTTGAAAACATGCCAGGTGCATGTGCATACATGCCCCAAATCTCAAGAGAATGGAAGAGAAGGGACTGGCCATCCCTCCTGGGAGTGATTTCTCACTTTCCCTCACTTTCTGTCTCTTTCTCCAGCAAGAGCATGTGCCCTGTAGCAAAAAATCTTGGGGGGAGGGGCAACTCCAGTTAATCCATCCCTTAATCTGATGATAAGAAAACTATGGCCCTGGAGGTCAGCGTCTCCCCAGGGATGGTGGAGCATGCCGGGCGTCCAGTCCAGGGTCTTCCAGCTGTCACATAGCTTCCCTCCCCACCAACGCTGTAAGTTGCCCACTCATGCACACGCCATGCCTTTCCTTTCCCAACTTACATGGGGATTCTTTCTTTCTTCTTTTTTCTTTTTCCTCAGTTTTTGTTGTAAAGTGCATGTGCTCGCTGGAGAGAGGGAGGAAAGGAGAAAAAGTGGATAATCAGTTCCAGGGGGGAATGGCTATACCACAGTCCCTTCTCCTCCATTCTCCTCTTGAGATTGTGGGCATGCACATACATGTGCCCGGTGTGGTTTTTAAGCCACTGGGTCTAAGACTTGAACCTTGCTGTTGAAGGAGTGGGATCCAGCCCTCTTAACCACCACGCCACCAGCTGGCCTGAGATACTTTCTTTTATTCTACACAGAGGTAGGACCCAGCATTTGATCCCTCAGCTCAGGGTCGGTTTCATTAATAGGTCACATTGTTGTTTCTCCCTGGCAGGCCACAGTTGGCTGCTTAGGGCCTTGGTGAGAACACCCAAGTCATTCTTCAGATGGTCCCTCAGCCACACTTTAAGACTGGTCTGTCAACCTCCTCCTAAAAAACAACTGCTGGCTTCCATCGTGACGACAGACCCTGGTTTCCCATATTTTTTTTTTTTTTAATTTTTTTTTTTTTTTTTTTAGAGATTTTTGCTATTGGTTCCATGCAGTCGCTGGGAAACAGAGAGACAGAGAGACAGAAAGTGAGAAATCAGCCCTTAGGGGGATGGCCACACTATAATCCCTTCTTCATTCTCCTCTCAGGATTTTGGACATATACGCACACACGCCTGGCATGAGGTTCAATCCTCCAGGTCTGGGACACAAACCATGGTCGGCCATGTGGGAGTCCAGCAGTGTAACCATTATCCCATCTGCTGTTCCCCCTTCCTCATGCCTTCTTCTTTTTTTCTTTTTTTTTTTTTTTAAGAATTATTTAATTTAATTTTATTTGTTTTAATTTGAGCAGAGAGTGACAGAGCAAGAGAGAGAAGGAAAGTGAGAAAGCAAGCCGCCGGGTCTGGGACTCAAACCGCAGTCGGCTGTGTGGTAGTCAGCATCCTTAACCACCACACTGCCCCTGCCGGCCCCTCCCTCCTGTTTGTTAAGAGCTCCTTCCAGGCTTCCTGTCTGCCTCTTCTTTTTGTCACTTTGTAGCAGTGCCTTCCAAATACTCTCCAGGTCTCTGCTCTGTCCCTTTTTGTTCCTTATCTGCTAAGGGCCAGTTATTCTTTAGAATCCTGGTCCCCTTCCTAGCTGCCTCTTGGTCGCCTTAGCTCAGCATTTCCCAGCCTCAGCACTGTTGGCATTTTTGAGTGGCTAATTCTTTGTTATTGGGGACTGTCCTGTGTAGCATCCTCGATTTCTGCTGACTAGATGCCAGTAGCACTCACTCCGGTTTGACAACCAGAAATATTTCCAGACATTGCAAATCTCTCCGGCGGGGGGTGAGGAGGTGGCAAAATTAGCCTCTGGTTCAGGACTCCCGCTTTAGCTGGATTTGACATCATCAAAACAAGACTTCCACCTGCTCCTCTCCTTGTTCCTCCTCAGCTAAAACAGGGTTGACCAGTTGCCCCAAGATTCCAGAGTGACCTTGCACATGATAAAGGGCAAGGAGGCAGAGGGAAAGGAGCCAGGGTCCCAGAGTTCCGAGTGTTGGAAGGGACCTCCAAGTCCTTGAGCTCAGGCATGCTAAACTGTCATGGCCGTCTGGCCCTCTTAAATTCAAGCAGCCTCAGATTCTTCTCAGCATTCTGATTGCTAAGAGATGTCCCAACTAGCAAGGGATGATGTGAAAGGTGAACTTCTGTGGATACCTGCTCAGCCCAGCGCCCTTGTGTTTACCTGTTCAGGTATAGGGCAACGTAGTGGTCAAAGAACTTTAACATGCGTTTTTGGCTGTTTTTGTTTAAGAAGACCCATGGCACTATGTCCCCAAGACCAGACCTGGCACATAGTTGGTGTTCAATAAGTCATGGCTGAATAATTCATTTTAATGATGATTGGCTCAGGCCACTCGTGGGACGGTGGTTAAGGAGCTTGGATCCCATGGAACCGGCTACATGGCTCACCTTCTGGATTTGGCTGCTTGACAAGACATCCCAGATGCATGTGTGTGCACGCTCACAATCTTGAAAGGAGAAATGGAAAAGGGAATGAAGCGTAGCCATCCTCCATGGGGGTTGCTTTGTCATTTCTCTCTGTCTCTCTCTTCATCTCTCTCCTGCCAGCATATTACCCTCTGGCAAAATTAGTAAAAGCAAAACAAAAAACAATGATTGTCCGAGTAGTAGGACCAGGGGTCATACTCTTATTCTCTTGTCTGCTTCTTAATTTCCAAACTTTTCTGTAATTGAGAGTATTTATTATGTTGTAAGAAGAGAGTCAAACCTTTGAATAATTTCCCCAAGTCAGGAGCAGAAAGGTCCCTGCCTCATTGAGCGTGTGTTTCTTCTCCAGGTCTGACCCACCGGAATCATGGCAACCAGCGCCGTCCCCAGCGACAACCTCCCCACGTACAAGCTGGTGGTGGTGGGGGACGGGGGTGTGGGCAAGAGTGCCCTCACCATCCAGTTTTTCCAGAAGATCTTTGTGCCTGACTACGACCCCACCATCGAAGATTCCTACCTGAAACACACAGAGATTGACAATCAATGGGCCATCTTGGACGGTGAGGCCTGGGTGACTCTCCTACTTAGGGACGTTATTTGGAGTGGGTCAGGGAAACTTGACAAGCTTCAACAGGGCAAGATCGTCTCCTTCATGCTGCTATTACAGGGTCGTGTAGAGTTTCTAGGGTGAATTCAGAACAGGAGGGCCTTTGTAGAGAGCTTAAAAAGCTTTGTGGAAACCATAATGTGTATTCAACAAAGAGGCAAAGGCTAGAATCATGCCAACTCAGTGATGTCATGTTTGTTATTTCTTGCCGATCAAAAGCTCTGATTAACAGTTACAGATGTCTCTGGCTAATAAAAAGGGGAAAACAAATTATTTCTTAATAAGCATAGTTTATTTGGTAAATGTCCTTTGGGGAGAAGAATCTTGCATCTGACATTGTGTTTCTAGCTTAGAGTAAATGAGTCTAGATTAGTAGTTCTCAGTGTAGTTGGCCAGACAGCCACAGAAGCATCACCAGGGAATTGATGAGAAATGCAAAATTCTCGGGACCAGCAGTTGGTGTTATGGCTATGTCGCTGGACTCCCATGTAGTCAACCGTGGTTTGAGTCCCTGACCCGGTGGCTTAAACTCATGCCTGGTGCCTGTGCGTGTGTGCCTAAGATCCCGAGAAGGGATTGCAGCATGACCATCTCTCCTGGGTGGTGATGTCTCGCTTTCTGTCTCTCTCTGTCTTTCTGGTGAGCGTACACGCCCCATAGCAAAAACCTCTCCAAAAAAAAAGAAATGCAAATTTTCAGGTCCTGATGAGTCAGAAATTCTGAGGGTGGTACCCAACAATCTGTGTTTTAACACACCCACCAGGCAGTGCTGGAGTTTGACAACTGCTGCTCTCCGTTCTTACCGATGATTGCTTTGCATGGCCCAAGTCTGTCTCTTGCGCAGAGACCCATTAATCATAGACGCCGGTCCAAGGGCTTGGAAACTGCCGAGATGCAAGCCCTCTATCAGATATGCGGGTGACAAATATTTTCTCCCAGTCTGTGACTCGTTTCTCACTCCCATAACAGTGCCTCTCAAAGGCTAGAGTTTTTAATTTTGTTGAAGTCAATCTTATCAATTTGTTCTTTTATGGACTGCGCTTTTGATGTTGTGTCTAAGAAATTTTTACCAGGGAACCAGCAGTTAGCGTAATGGCTATGTCGCTGGACTCCCACGTAGTCAACCACGGTTCACGTCCCGGACCCAGTGGCTTAAAACTCACGCCGGGCGCATGTGCGTGCGTGCGTGCCCAAGATCCTGAGAGGAGAGTGGAGGAGAAGGGATTGCAGCGTGACCATCCCCCCTGGGGTGTGATTTCTCGCTTTCTGTCTCTCTGTCTCTCTCTGTCTGTCTGGTGAGCGCACGCGCCATATAGCGGAAAAACCTCTCAAAAAAAATAAATAAAACATAAAAAGAAACTTTTACCTAACCCAAGGTCATAAGAGTTTTTTCCTGTTTTTTTTTTTTTTTTCCCTAGAATTTAGTGGTATTAGGTTTTATGTTTAGATTTATGGTTTATGTACCTTTGTGTAATTTTTTTTTTTTTTTTTTAGTTTTTTTGCTATGGGGCACGTGCGCTTACCAGAAAGACAGAGACAGAGATTCAGAAAGTGAGAAATCACCCCCCAGGGGGATGGTCATGCTGCAATCCCTTCTCCTCCATTCTCCTCTTGGGATCTTAGGCACACACGCACATGGGCCTGGCGTGAGTTTAAGCCACTGGGGCCGGGACTCGAACTGCGGTTACTACATGGGAGTCCAGCAATATAGCCATTATGCCAACTGTTGGTTCCAACTCGGAGTTAATTTTTATATATGGTATGAGATATGGAACAAAGTTTGGTTTTCTTCATTTCTATATTCGTATCTGTGTGTGTGTGTGTGTGTGTGTGTGTGTGTGTATAGATATATGCTATGTTAATGAATGTCATATTCTAGTACTATTTGTTGAAAAGATTGTCCTTACCTGCTGAATTGCCTTTGTGTAGTTGGCAGAAGTTCGTTGTTCGTATACCTTGTTTCTGTGTCCCATTTGACTGTCCTAACACCAGAACCACACTGGACTTTCATACAGTTTGATAGCAGGCAGTATTAAATCCCCACCTTTGCTCTTCATCAAAGTCATTTGACTGGTATGGGTCCTGAGTATTTTCATATGAATTTTAAGATCAGTTATAGTCTTTCTTTTAAAGAATTATTCTATTTAATTTTATTTATTATTACTATTTTTTAATTTGACCAGAGACAGACAGAAAAAGAAAGAGAAGGAAAATCAGAAAGCAAGCTGCTGGGTCCGGGACTCTAACCGCAGCCAGCCATGTGGGAGTCTAGCACCCTAGGCACCATACCACCTTCCAGTCTCGATCAGTTAAATTCTTTTTCTTTTTTTTCTAAGAGATATTTTTGCTACAGGACACATGCTCCCTCCAGAGAGACAGGAAGAGATGTAGACAGAAAGCAAGAAATCACCCCCCAGGGGGGATGGCTATGCTGCAGTCCCTTCTCCATTCTCCTCTCAGGATCTTGGGCACACATGCACACGGGCCTGGCATGAGTTTCAAGCCACCGGGTCTGGGACTGGAACCATGGCCGACTACGTGGCAGTCCAGTGACGTAACCATTTTGCCGTCTGCTGGTCCCGTGATCAGTTAAACACTTAAATTCTGGTGTGTGATTGGAATAAGATGAACCTGAAGATCAATTTGAGAATTGACATCTTAATGTTGTGCCTTCCACTCCACAAATATTAACAATGTCCCTCTTCCTTTATTGAGGCCTTTAATTTCATCCATTTTTTTGTAGTTTGAGTGCATCTGTCTTTTACCTGTTTTGTCATAATTTTACCTAGATCTGTATTGATGCTATTGTTAAGTAATTGTCATTTGTTTGTTGCTATATACAAGTAAATGCAATAGGTTTTTACATATTACTCTTATAACCTGCAACCTTGCTAACTCCCTCATTCGTTTTAGTGGCTTTTAAAAATAGATTCCCTCAGGGTTCTCTGCCTAGAGTTCATATTTGCAAATAAAAGCAACTTTACTTCTTCCTTTCTGGATGGCTTTTATTTATTTTTCTTGCTTTACTTCACTGACCAAAGCTTCCAGTATAGTGTATAATAGAAGTAATGAAAACAGACATTCTTGGCTTGTTCTTAATTTTAAAGGAAGTTTTAATCTTTTAGTATTAAGTATGATATTAGCTATAGGTTTTTATTTTTGCCCTTTGTCAAATCAAGGAAATTTCTTTCTTTCTTTTTGATTTTTGGAGAGGTTTTTGCTATAGGGCGCATGCGCTCGCCAGAAAGACAGAGATAGACATAGACAGAAAGCGAGAAATCACCCTCCCCAGGGTTATGGCCACACCACAATCTCTTCTCCTCCATTCTCCCCTTGGGAGCTGGGGCCCGCACGCCGAGCTGCAGTTTAAGCCACCAGGTCCAGGACTCAAACCATGGTCGATTACATGGGAGTCCAGCAACATAGCCATTACGCCAACTGCTGGTCCCAGGAAATCCTTTTCTATTCTAGTTTGTTGAGAGGTTTTTGTTTTGATGCAGCAATGGATGTTGGATTTTATCAAATAATTTTTCTGAGTCCTGAGATAATCATATAGTTTTTGTTTTTTTCACTTTGTTAAAATATTAAATTACAGTGATTTCTTATTCTAACGTAAACCAACATTGCATTCCTAGAATTAAACCCCACTTGGTCTTGATGTATTCTTTTTTAAATTTTTTTATTTAATTTTATTTATTCATTCATTTATTAATTTGACCAGAGAGAGACACAGAGAGAAAGAGGAAAAGTGAGAAAGCAAGCCACCAGGTCGGAGACTCGAACCATGGTTGGCCATGTGGGAGTGTCCAGCGCCTTAACCACCACGCCACTATATTGTTGACTTTGCTTTACTAAAACTTTATTTAGATTTTTAAAATAAAAGTTCCTGAAGGGCATTTATTGTTCTGTAGTTTTCTTTTTTAAAAAATTATTTCTTTAATTTTGTTTGTTATTTTTAATCTGACCAAAGAGACAGAAAGAACAAGCATGGGAGAAGGAGAAAGTGAGAAAGCAAGCTTCCAGGTCCAGGATTTGAACCGCAGCTGGCCATGTGGGAGTCCAGCACCTTAACCACCATGCCACCTGCCGGCCCCTGTAGTTTTCTTTTTTTTAACAAGGGCAAACATCAGCTTTTTTATTTTCTCTTTATTGCCAGATGGTGTGTGTACTTCCAAGAGAGAAAGAGAGAAAGAGAGAGAGAGAATCCCACACTGCAATCCCTTTTTCCTGCTTTTCTTCCTATCAGGAATTTGGGCACACACTCATGGCTGGCGTGGTTTCCAAGCCACCAGGGCCAAGACTTAAACTTGATTTTTTCTGTTCTGTACACATAAGCACATCTCTTGCTCAAACAGAATTGTTTCATCTCTAGCATAAACACCTTCACCTTTAAAAGAGCCGCGTGTTTCCTTTGGTTCCTGAAACCCTGCTTATAGCAACAGAAATGGCCGTGGGTCACAGCCTTTGCGACATGCTCGTCTTTCCAAGTCCTGTTCACAGCAGGCCTCCACAGTCTCCAAGACAGGAAAGGCTGGTTTCTCCGTAAGGTCTTCGATTTTGCTGGGCTTACAGAATGAGCTGGGAAGTATTTCCTTTTATTAATTTACCGGAAGAGTTTGAGTAAAATGAATACTATTTCTTTAAATGTTTAGTAACATTCATCAACAACATCTGGGCCTGGAGTTTTCTTAGTAAGAAGGTTTTTAACTAGAAATTAATTGTTTTAGCAGCTACCAAGCCATTCAGATGACCTCTTTATTCTTCAGTCAGCTCTGGCAGTTGTGTCTTTCAGAAATGTCTTCAGTTCATTACGGTTATGAATTTTTTTTGGCATAAAGTTGTTTTATAATATTCTCTTATTATCTCTCTCTTTTTTTTTTTGAGGCAGAGAAATTATTTATTTATTTATTTATAGAGGTTTTTGCTCTAGGGTGCGTGACAGAGATAGAGAGA